GATAAATACATAAAATCTTAAAAAAAAAGAAAAAAGTATAGCTTTAGGTCCTAGAGAAAATGGTACAAAATTTGCCTCACAAGGACACAGAGTAAGTATCCAAGTTCTCTCCAAGGTAGAGACTAGGAGCATATCTCCCTATTATTAGAGGTGTTGGAGTCTGGGCATTAGAGCCATTTTAGCAGTTTTTGTTTTAAAAAGCCCCCCCCCCTTTTTTCCTTCGGTCTCCAGTACAAGTGGGCTGTATTTGCTTTTCAAAGACATGATAATATTTAAAATTTCAAGGGACAGAGAAAGAATGCAAAATGTTTTTTCCCCTTGAATTTCAGGGTAATTGCTATGAACAATTCACCTTTTTTTAAAAAAAAATACAAGGGAATTTTGTTTGATATTCTGTTTATAGCTACAAACATTTTGAAAGGAATATGTGAGGTTTGGGGATTAGTAAAGATGGGTGGGCTTTGACTTCTATTTTTAGCGTTGCATTTCTGGTTTTTTTTTTTTTTTTTTTTTTTGAGCTTTGTAAGACAAAGACAGTTGTTGCTAATTCCCCCAAAGAACTGGATTAGAGCCTGAATATCAAGGGACTGGCCTCCTTTTTAAACTAAATTTGCTTCTTTATATCAGGGGGATTTTTAAGTAAAATGGGAATCAAAGACTTATGCTTTTGTAAAATCTATATAAAGCATTTCAACATAAGCGTTTTTCTTGGGTACACAATTTAACCTTGGCTTCTATTAGTCCCTGAATATTAGCCTTTTGAGATCATTTGTAGGAGGGCCTAGGAGAAATTTTGGTCCTGTTTCCTCTGTGAAAGGGAGGTTATGAATAGTCATCAACCAATTCCTCTCTAAATTTGGTAGGATTTTTCCAGGGGGGATAAAAAAAAGGCTTTACAATTTAAAAAGATCTGCTGCTACCCAGAGGAAAGAATTCTTCTGCAGTGGGGGATCTAGGATACACCTGGAAAGGCCATGGCACAAGAATGCCTAAAGCTGGCAGATCCTGATTATAGAACCCCGGGAGGTAGGATCAAAGCCAGCCTCACTGCCAAACTTGGGTGCTTTTATTAAGTTCATTTCCTGGCATTCAGCATTTACACCTGAATACTGAATACAGCATTTACAACCTGCATACTTTGAACCTAGAGAATAGGCTGTACATCTCATAGGGAAAGGGAAGTTAAAAACAGGTAGATTTTAGGAAATTTTGCACTGAATGTGGACATTTATTTTTGTCTTAAGTCTAATTTGTTCTTTTGTCAAAGGAATCCCTAAGGCTAGCTGTTCTACTAATAAGACAACTGAGAACTCTCTGTAAAGAAAATTTTTCTTTTAAATATAGCCAATTTATTTTATTTACTTATTTTATTATTTATTTATGATAGTCACACACACAGAGAAAGAGAGAGGCAGAGACACAGGCAGAGGGAGAAGCAGGCTCTATGCACCGCGAGCCCGACGTGGGATCCGATCCCGGGTCTCCAGGATCGCGCCCTGGGCCAAAGGCAGGCGCCAAACCGCTGGGCCACCCAGGGATCCCAATATAGCCAATTTAAAGGATTCATCATCTGGCCATTGAGAAGCAGGATCTACTAAGAGCGATGCAAACCAATAAGCCTTTGAATGGCTTCACCAAAGACACAAGAGGCATTCAAAGAGTGCATAGATGGGACACCTGGGTGGCTCAGTGGTTGAGCATCTGCCTTCACGCTCAGGGCTTGATCCTGGGATCTGGGATCTAGTCCCGCATTGGGATCCTTGTGGGAAGCCTGCTTCTCCCTTTACCTATGTCTCTGCCTCTCTCTCTGTGTCTCTCATAAATAAATAAATAAAATCTTAAAAAAAAAAAACAGGGCATAGATGATGCCACCCCCATGATCCAAAAGTTTATTCCCAGGATTAGTTTAAGAAAGAAAAGGTCTTCCCTGCACAGGCAGTAAGGATGGTGTACTGAAAATGGCACCTCTGGTCTCCCACGAAATCATAATGATGTAGTTCTAAAAGGCAGGTGAGAGCAGCCCGGGTGGCTCAGCAGTTTAGCGCTGCCTTCAGCCCAGGGTGTGATCCTGGAGACCCGAGATCAACTCCCACGTCGGGGTCCCTGCATGGAGCCTGCTTCTCCCTCTGCCTGTCTCTGCCTCTCTCTCTCTCTCTCTCTCTCTCTCTCTCTCTCTTTCTCATGAATAAATAAATAAAGGCAGGTAAAAAAAAAAAAAAGGCAGGTGAGTTTTGGTGGGGTGAGGTCCAGAGCTGACAACCATGAAAGATTTCTCAAGATGTCTTTAGTGCAAAAAGGTGGCTTTATTAAAGAGCTGCTGTGCCAGGGTTGTAAGGGGTAGCTGATTATATACTTGGGAGTTGGGAGAGGTAAGGAAAAGGGAGATTTTCAAAAGAAACTTCATATGCTAAATGAAGACGATTTACAAGATGCTGGAGGCCTCGCCATTGTCAAGTTAAGATTGTTTCCCTTCTAGCATGGCATTAACAATAAGACAGTTGGGAGTTTCCTAGAGGAATGTCATACATATCCCACCTAGGAGTGTGTGTGTGTGTGTGTTGAGGGGGGGAGGGTTTGCAGGGTGTCAGCTTGTGCTTTGTCCTCAACTAGCCTTCTGTTCCCTCACCAATAAGACACCTCCAGTCATAGATGGCTCATCTGTGACACCAGGAAAGTGCTATTGGAATGGGACTTTCTAGCACTCATAAGCAATGAAGGTTGAGAGGACAAAGGTTCCTATGGGCTAGAACTTCTCATAACAAACACCAATGAAAGGTGGCAAGGCACAGGATGAAAGGTGGGGCGGGGAGGGGGAGAGAGAGTCAGGTTTAGATCCCCAGTCTTTTCAACTGGCCACTGAGAAGAATATTCTCACTGGTCACAAAGCCAAGCTCTTAGCACACAGAATAAGACAAAAGGAAAAAATCTTGTATTCACCCTAACAGCTTTAGCCAAAGCTTTGGGTTTCTGGTGATGTGGAAATGGGGTTCAGAGCAAATGGTTAAGAAATAATTCTTGAGAATGTCCTCAGTGCAAAATTGTGGCTTTATTAAAGCACAGGGACAGGACCTGTGGGCAGAGAGAGCTGCCCTGGGGTCATGAGAAGTAGCCAATTATATACTTTTAAGTTGGGAGGGCGTTAGGGACAGCACAAACCTCCAAGGTATTTTGGAAACAAGATTTCCAGGACCCTGAGGGGGCTATTTTCAGGAAAAGTTCATTTATCACTGTTTAGTAAAAACTCAGTCATGAGACCCTTCAGATGTCTATCAGTGGGCCTTATGCTTGGAGGATGATTGCTAACATCTATCTTGGGGGGTAGAGGTAAAGGAAGTTTCCAAACTTCCAAATTATAAAGGAATTTTTATATGTTTAAAGTAGACTCAGGGTCCTGAGGGGGCGGCCTAGGACTGCCTTTTGCCTTAATGAGTGTCCACATTGAGGCAGCTGAGCTCCCAGAGGAAGGTCACTCTGCCTGTTTCAGGGACTTGTCAATGGGCTGTAAGCAGTAAGGAAATTTAACTTTTCTTTTGTCTTTGTTTCCCACATCATTCACCCCTGAATATTTCTGACCTTTAGATCTTTAAGGTTGCTGAAGGTGGAAGGTCTTATCTTCAATAACTTCCTCCTGCCAAATAGGGGCATAGCGATGTCCCTACCTGTGGGTCAACATTGGGCAGTTGGAGGCTTTACATATAGAAGCTATGAAAGGCAGAGGCAGCTGAATTCAAGGGAGACCACACGTGTGGGTCTTCCCGAGTGGAAAGGAGCATATGTTGGCTTGAAGTTATGGCAGGAAACGAGTCTCAACATCAGGTGGAGAGAAGTGGGAGAAAACAGCAAAACCTGATTAGAATAACAAAAAGAAAAAAGAAGCCCAAATAGAAGTCTTTTGATAGTTGACAGAAATCCTCTGCCAGTGCAGGAGCTCAACCAATCATTTAAGGAACGAGAAGTATTGTTTAAAGCACCAATTTCAAGTCAGTTAGAAACCCAGAAATGTTTTTGTGATCATCTGGAACGCACACGCAGCATTCTGTTTTTAAACTAGCACAAGTTCCACCTCGTGCAGCAGTTAAAACATCGACTGCCATTCTATTTTGTAAAACTGCTTTTTGCATTTGTGTTACTTCAGTATTTAGTAGGGAGATGCTATTTTGAATGTCATTTAGGGCTTTGGCAGTGTACTTATTAAGAGTTTCCTGGGATGCCTGGGTGGCTTAGCGGTTGAGCATCTGTCTTCAGCTCAGGTCATGATCCCGGGGTCCTGGGATCAAGTCCTGCATCAGGCTCCCTGCGAGGAACCTGCTTCTCCCTCTGTCTATCTCTCTGCCTCCCTCTGTGTATCTCTCATGAATAAATAAATAAAATCTTAAAAAAAAAAAAAAGAGTTTCCCTGTGCCAAACGGCATCCTCCAGGCTCAAAGAGGGAACAAGGATGGATGCTACGTGGTCATACCAATGAGACACAGAATGTGTCACCATCGTTTTAAATTTGGACGGTTGGCTGGGTTGGTAATGGTTCTAATAATGTGTCTATGCATCCAGACAAAACTCAGAGTAGAGTGGTCTATGCAGCCTGGGGGAAGTCATGGCCACACGTAGAGCCTCACAGCCACTGGGTCCTTTCAGGAGCCAACTAATAATTCTAATAATTATTAATTATAATTCTAATAATAAGCCAACTTTCTAATTCTGGGCCTTCTTGAACTGCAGTCAGGAGATCAAGGGTTATTTGGTTTTGGAGGGCCGCGTTTCCAGGGGGTTGTGGATGCCAAGCCTCATGTAAAAGGTAATGAATTGTTAAGGCCCAAGCTATTTGCTGAGTTATTTGTGCAACAAAAGATGGTCCATTGTCACTTTATAGGGACCAAGGGAGTCCAAATCTAGGGACAATTTCTCTTAGCAAAGTTTTTGTCACCTCGGTGGTCTTTTCTGTTTTTTAAGGAAGAGCCTCTATCCATCCAGTAGAAGTGTCTACATAAACCAACAAGTACTTAGTGCTCTCTTTGGCAGCACATATACTAAAACTGGAATGATACAGAGAAGATTAGCATGGCTTTGCTCAAGGATGACTTGCAAATTCGTGAAGCATTCCATATTTTTGCACTAAGGAGGGCACTTGATAAGATAAGCACTAGGTGTTAGACTATATGTTGGCAAATTGAATTTAAATAAAATATTTTTAAAATTAAAAAAAAAGCAGTAAGTACTTATATCTTTTACAAGGTGACATTTGTGTAAAATCTAATTGCCAGTCCTCTCCAGGATATGTCCCCTGCCTTTGGACTGGCCTTAAAAGAGGGCAGGGGCAGTTGCTCCCTCTGGGTTTGCTTGTGCACAAACAGCACATGATTGAAGGACCTGTTTAATGTTGGTGGTTAAGCTAATTCCATCAAAGATGTTGTTAACCATTTGTCCCAGGGCCTTTCTTACCCAAATGGGTAGCCTGGTGTAAACCTTGTATGACCTTCCATTGGTTATTTGTGGGTATAAAGATTTTTCTCTCATTATTAAGAAGCCAGTCCTTTGCATTTTTTGCATATCCTCCTTCCTGGGCTCTGTAGTTTCTTAGTCTGAATAGATTGGAGCTATGGACTTTATTGGGGTGAAGACTGGTATAAGACTTAAGATTTGTTTATTTTGTGCTGCCTGCTGGCTGCACGGTCTGCCAGGTTGTTGCCTTTAGATTCTAAGGTCCTTTTGACGTTCTTTGAGGTGAATCACAGCTACCTCCTTAGATGGGAGTACAGCTTCAAGAAGGGTCATAATTTTCAGGTGCATATTTGATTGGGGAGTTATGGCTTGATAATACGTCCCATTCCTTCCAAATGCTCCCTGGACCTGTAGGACTAGGAAGGTATATTTAGAGTTAGTATAGATATTAATTTTCAGGCCCTTTGCCAATTGTAAAGCACGAGTGAGCACTATTAATTCTGCTTTGTGGGCAGACATATTTGCCAGGGGGGCTTTGGCCTCAACAGTCTGAGTTAGAGTGACTGATGGTGTACCCAGCTTTTCTTAGCCCCTTTTCCGTAAAACCACTACCATCAGTAAATCAACTGTCATCTACATTTTCAGTAGGGGAATCTTTTAAATCTGGTCTGCTAGAATAAACAAGATCAATAATCTTTGAGCAGTCATGTTCTAACATGAAAGTATGATGGTCAAGCCCAGGCATAAGGGTAGCTGGGTTTAAAGTTTGACAAGTTTTAAGTATTATTTCAGGTGTATCTAAAGCATATCCTGGTATTTAATAAGTCAGCCTTTCATCATCTATTGGTGGCTTTTGGTCTCTAAGACACTCTGGATCTGATGTGGAGTCATCACTGTCATAGACTGTCCGATAGTAAGTTTGAGGGTTCTTCTACCAGGAGGGCTGTTGTATGTTTGGCTAAAGCCTCTATTTGCAATTTTACATCAATGGAAGTAGTTCCTAGGACAAATATGGCTAAAGGACAAAACCACCAAGAAGCCCTCTTTGTTTGGGGTCTAGCCTTAACAATATCCTAATTATAAGAATCACTGGCAAGTGGGAGGAGGCTTGTCTCAGGACATAAGAGCATCCCCAACTGCATCATCCAATCCAATCATAAGGAAAGTGGGGTCCTCCATTATCTTCACAAACCCGTAGTTAACCCCATGGAGTGGGGTAAGCTCTGACTTTTAGGGAATGATATTATCATCCCAGCCACACAGAACTGGTCAAGGTGCTAGTTGAAACATACAATTGTTGGGGAATTAATCCCATCTTCCAGCTGATCAAATAATCATATGCCCATGGGGTCCTGTTATTATCCCCACAGAATAACAAGCATGAAGATTGTCTATACATGAAATGTTGTGGTAATTTCTCTGAAGTTTACCTCAAGTTGTCTAGCTTAGGCAAACAATAGTCAAAGACAATAGTCAAAGTCAAACAATAGTCAAATAGAACTAGAATTTAACATTCACAGAGGTGCGTTATTGAGATATTATTTTTCTTTCTCTAATCACCTTCAATTCTGGAGATAGCCAAATCAAGACTGATTCGTTTAAAAAACAAGTCCAATTTTAACAAATGTGGACTAATTATTTACATAAGCTCAGCAAAAATAGCAATTTGCCATATGGATCTTTTTTTTTTAAGATTTTATTTATTTATTCATGAGAGAGAGAGAGAGGCAGAGACACAGGCAGAGGGAGAAGCAGGCTCCACACAGGGAGCCTGACGTGGGACTCGATCTCGGGCCCCCAGGATCACACCCTGGACTGAAGGCGGTGCTAAACTGCTGAGCCACCTGGGCTGCCCCATATAGATCTTTCAAAATCAGTTTTGCTGGAACTTTTCATAAGGAATCTAGATTGAACTTCTAGTAGCTTCTCAAGGCCAGAAGCCAAGTCAAATAGTTGCCATCAGACATGCCTGCAATACCTGTAGATTGGGTGAATTCCTCTTCAGGTCCCCAAAGTATCCTGAGGTTCCTGCACCTGCCAGGAAGTGACATTCTTTACTCACTTGGTAAGGCTGCTGGGAACTCTATAAGCAAGGTATCAGGCCAACATTTCCACGGGACTTTATGGCTCCATGTTTCATAAAGTCAACCTCAATTCCTTGAAGCTGTCTGGTCATATCTTAGTCTATGCATGTCTCTCTCAACTATGACGTTCCAGTCAAAGCCTTGGTAATAATCAATGTTTTCGATGGTGTCCTGTTACAAGGAGAACAGATTCTTATTGAATTTATGCAAATGATCATGACTGCCCTGAAATAAAGAATACTTAGACTTTTTGAATTTCATAGGGTTCAGAGAGAGAGAAAAGTTAGATGGTTCAGTTTGTTCACAAAGGGATATTTTATTATATTTTTCTAAGTCACAGATATCTTAAGAGAAAGTTTCCTTAATCTGGGAGAACATTAGAGAACCAGCGATATTTTCAACAATAGTCACAAAAACCATAATCATATTTCTTTTTTTTAGATTTTATTTATTTATTCATGAGAGACACAGAGAGAGAGAGAGGCATAGACATAGGCAGAGGGAGAAGCAGGCTCCCCCTAGGAGCCCGATGTGGGACTTGATTCCAAATGGGGGATCACACCCTGAGCCAAAGGCAGGCGCTCACCCGCTGAGCCACCCAGGCATCCCTGTAATTATATTTCTTAACTCTTTTAGTCCCATGTTAATAATCCTTATTTAGTTTGAATGTGGCTTTTTAGTTCTGGATATTCTTAACCATTTCAGTTTTAGGATCTTAAAGATACCGAATACTTGTATTTGTCCTAAATGTCCTTTTCATGAATGTCCTTGAAGATGAAGTATGTTTTTTTTCAAAGATTTTTTAAATCTATTTATCCAAGGGAGACACACGGAGAGAGGCAGAGACACAGGCAGAGGGAGAAGGGAAACATGTTTTATAAAAGCTTCAGAACACTTCTAAGTGACCAAAACTCAGAAATGGACATGTTTATGATCTGATATGACAATTCATTATGATGCAATTGACAAGCAAATACAGTTATTTCTATGACACAGAACACTTCAATAATCGGAATAATGAGTGATGATCTTCTACCAGAATATAACATACCGAATAAACAATCCTAATTAGTCAGACTTCATTTATAGTTTAAATCTTGGAGAAGTTTGGAAAACCTTAGAAGGTTTTAAAGCACATGCCTAAATAGGGTTATAGATCATCAAAGACCTGACAATGATGAGGTAAAAAACCTAGAAACTGGGTTTTCTGGGCATAGAAAACAACTTTGTTTACATTTTCTTATCAAAAGCAGACTAACGATCCAAGAAAATGTGTCTTTTTAACAGAGAGAATGCAGAATTTCAATCTTATACCAGTGTATTTTTTTTAAGATTATATTTATTTATTTCAGAGAGAGAGAGTGAGGGGCAGGGGAGGGATAGGGATAAGGAGAAGGAAAAGAATCACAAGCAGACTCCATCCCAAATGCGGAACCTGACAGGGAGTTCGATCCCACTACCCTGAGATGATGACCTGAGCTGAAAACCAAGAGCTGGATGCTTAACCCACTTAGCCACTTAGGCGCTCCATCAGTGTATTTTTAAAATCTATTCATTTCAACCTTTGTCTGTCCTGACCACACTTAAAATTCCTTTCCAAAGATGTCCCTTCAGAAAACCTTCCACAACTTTCCTTTGCATTCAGATTTCGTCCCAAGCAATTGGTCTCCAACCAGTCTTATTTAGGCCAAAATTACCTTCTTAAACCTTCAACAAAAATGTATTCCTAATTTCTTAGGTCTTTCGCATACATAGAGTTGCTTCCCTTCTTTCTTTCTTTCTTTCTTTCTTTCTTTCTTTCTTTCTTTCTTTCTTTCTTCTTTCTTTTTCTTTCTTTCTTTCTTTCTTTCTTTCTTTCTTTCTTTCTTTTTCTTTCTTTCTCTCTTTCTTTCTTAATTTTTAACTAACATTTTTTAAAAGAGTGGGGGTAGGGAGGGGCAGAGGGAGAAGCAGACCCCCACTGAGCAGAGACCCCAAGACAGGGCTCAGTCTCAGGACCCTGAGATCATGACTCAGCCCAACCGACTGAGCCACCCAGGGGCCCCTGTTGCTTCCCTTATTTCCATCAGTCCTAAAACCAAGTAGTAATGAGTTGTAAATTATTACACCAGAATTCTTTAGATGGCAAATTTATAGATACATGTAAGCACAAAGTAGTTTTTCACAGCAGACCCAAATATCCTTAGTTTCTCTGCAATAAGAAGTCAAAAGCAGATATACTATGTTTAGTAATCAATGCTTTAGCACTTTATCCTATTTGGAAAAGACTTAGATGTCCAATGAATTTAATCTCAATTCAACAACCAAGAAAAACTTTAAAACTTCAAGTTACCAAGGATTGTGAAAGCTATCTTAACAATTACCCAAGAAAACTTTAAAACAGACAAAATTAGCTATCGTTTTAAGTCATCTTTTTGCTAAGATCCTGCAACATGATAACCTGAGGTAACACGAGCTTATTTGACGTTTAGTAAACTTTGGTAGAATAAAAGTTTTATATTTAATGCAGATAACGCTAAAAATGTGTCATTTTAAACCAACAAACTTAAATTACTTTAAATACTAAATTATGTTCCACTTAAAAGTCAACCACTTTTAAGTCCACTTAAAAGTCCACTTAAAAGTCAACCTGGGTCCTGGGTCCACTTAAAAGTCAACCAATTTGTTCTCCATTGTCAATTTTTACCTGGGGCACTGGTGGGGAAATCTGAAGAGGGTGGTGTTAAGTCTGAGGGGGTGCTCTTCACTCCTTGACAGGGTAGGAGGAGGAGCCAATAGTGCCAGAGGCACCGGGGATGGTATTAGGAACCAGTTATGCAGGTTGCACCCAAGGTGCTGTAGAAACAAGAGGGGGAGGGGAGGCAGAAGAGGCCAGGTGCTGCCAGAAGGCAAAGAAAGAGGGTTCCTGAATTTAAACCTCATCAACTGACAGATAAGTGGATGTCATGTTTTTTTTTTTTTGGGGGGGGGTTTCCCACCAAAGTGGAAACACGCAGTCCATGTTGGACCAGAGAAGACAGGGAACTTCCCCAAAGCAAAGGGAGTTTTGGCAGTTTTGACTATTCCTTAAAGTCCCCATCCTGAGGTAGACTAACGAGACTAAGGAACCACTATTGGCTCCAATTATAGCTATTAGCCCAGGAAATGAATGAAGGAGAAGCACCCACATCTATTAGGAGGAGGAACAGGAGAGAGGGTCAGTGTCCCCTCCATCAAGGATGGCCTATTTCCTCCAGCAACCTGGGTTCTATCAGGAGGAGGTCTATTTAATTATCATTCAAATTATCAGGAGGGAGTTTACTGGCTGAGTTAGTGACCCAACATGTTCTGGAAGAGGCTGTTAGGTTCAGGTCCTGATTTAGAGCCATGAAGTCCCAGACTGAGGATACCTCTGTCCATTTGCCCTGTTTCCTGCCCAAGAGATTGATAGATCTGAATGAGGCCATGCAGTATTACAGGAGATTGGTCCCTTCCTAAATTTTGCAATCTGAATTGCTTCCAGTGGGTTAAAAGGCATTCTGAGGCAGAGTCCTTGGGAACTGAAGAAAGGAGAAGGTCCATTATCAAGAAAATCCTCCCCCCCACCACCACTCCTGGGTGGCATTCCACGTAGGCTATGTCAGAGGTTCCTGGTATCAAAGCGACCTAAGGCGTCCCTTTAATGAAATCGCTATGATTGCTGCCTTGCCACTCACTAAAGGCCCTGTAGGAGGGATGCTAGCATCCCCTCCTTGCCCATCACACTCTATGCTGCAAAATGGGTGCCAGTGTATGGATGAAGATACTATGCCTTGCCTTGCTGTGAAGAACCTGCTGCTTTTTAATCCATGGAAAATATTAGAAAAGCTTTACAAGGTGAAATTACCCCAATTTGTAAGGTAAGTAGTTAGTAGAGGACATTGATGGAAAACAGTAAAGATAAGAAATCCATCACAGTCTAAGTGACATTCTAATACATGTAGACGTTACAGTCCGCTTCCCTAGGAAATGGTTCCTGGTTGGGTTTTAATTCAATCAGGAACGGCCGCTCTGAGTGGAGATCTTGAGGTCAGAAGTGATGCGACCAGAGATGTGGAGGGGATCACATTAGACCAATGAGGAGGGAACTTCACATGAAAGTCTTAAAGATTGGCAGCCATCCTGGTGACTCAGGTGGCTGTCCTGTGCCCAAGACAGACAGCTTTGTATAAGGACAGGAAGAAAGAGAGGGCATCAAGTTTCTGGTCTTGTTACCATTCCATCCATAATACTAACTTCCAGAGAAAAGACAAGCTTTCTCCTCCCCATAGAGTAGCCACGGACTAGAGGGTTGCAGCATGAACAGCTGACATTGAAAGTGTTTCAATAAGACCATACTCCTTAAAAAGCCCTTGAAGTTTAAGTAAAGGAAGAGAAAGTACTCACCGAATTTGCACCAAAGCTTGGAGTCAGATGAGAAGACTCAAGCCACGTGACCGGGCACCAAAATGATGTGGAAATGTTGGAGTTCAGAGCAAATGGTCAAGAAATAATTCTTGAATAATGTCTTAATAATGTCATAATAATGTCTTCAGTGCAAAATTGTAGTTTTATTAAAGCACAGGGACAGGACCTGTGGGCAGAGAGAGCTGCCCTGGGGTCATGAGAAGTAGCCAATTATATACTTTTAAGTTGGGAGGGCGTTAGGGACAGCACAAACCTCCAAGGTATTTTGGAAACAAGAATTCCAGGACCCTGAGGGGGCTATTTTCAGGAAAAGTTCATTTATCACTGTTTAGTAAAAACTCAGTCATGAGACCCTTCAGATGTCTATCAGTGGGCCATATGCTTGGAGGATGATTGCTAGCATCTATCTTGGGGGGTAGAGGTAAAGGAAGTTTCCAAGCTTCCAGACTATAAAGGAATTTCTATATGTTTAAAGTAGACTCAGGGTCCTGAGGGGGCGGCCTAAGACTGCCTTTTGCCTTAATGAGTGTCCACATTGAGGCAGCTGAGCTCCCAGAGGAAGGTCACTCTGCCTGTTTCAGGGACTTGTTAATGGGCTGTAAGCAGTAAGGAAATGTAATTTTTTCTTTTACCCCCTTTTTTTTTTGTTACATTATTTTGGAGCCACAGTAATACTTAGGAGGGCTGTGCCACAGGGTTAGGGACTAAGTGCTGTTTTACTGTGTACTTCATTGCACAGAAGTTGGTGGGCAGCCTAATGTCAATGTAACCCATTCCATGACAGAAGACACAAAGGACACAGACCAAGAAAAAGACTGTCTCTGGAAAGAAATGGATCACTAACCAAAGAGTAGTCTAGCAAATTTAACCAGAGTCGCTAGTCCCAAGGAACCAGTCCCACAAATATTTTCTGTTACTCATCTAAACTTAGAAAGAGGGAAAAAAGACTCTCACCACTCACTCCATTGGACTCTGCACATAGAGATCCTGGGAAGCTGACATGGTAAGAAATCTTACCTTCTGCCAGCTGTATGTCAGATGTCCCAGGATTTCTGAGCAGCAGCAGTGTCTGGGGTGAGCAGTGTCCCGTGACTTAAAGTATCCTTCTGACTACGTCAACTGCTGGGGAGGGGAAATTACCTCTGCTTTTCAAGGTCCTTCTGCTGGACTAAGAATCAAATTGAGATGAGACAGATTAATAGGAGAAGATCAAATTTACTTTCAGACGTACAGTGAATCCATACAGACATGAAATTCCAAAGACAGTGAGGCAACATGCGGCTTACAAGAGCTAAGGAGAGGGGTGGGGGTCTGAAGATACAAACGGTGGGCAGTGTAGCATTAGCAGGAGGGTGAAAGGAGATGTTTGGAAAACAAAGATTGCTGTTATGCAGATAGGTGTCTTAGGTAAAGAGGAATCTCCTCTACAGCTTTCTTCCTGGTACAAGCAGGCAGTTGGTGGTGGTGGTGGTGGGGGGGGTGCAGATAAAGGCCTTCTCTGAATCTGCTTGGTTTGGATTGCTTTTCACTCAAAATAATGTTCTCGTCAAAGTGGCCCATCTTAGGATGGCTTGCCCTTGGTCTTCCAAGGGTGTAAAGAAGCAAATAGGCTGGTCTATGTGGGGGATGGGCAAGTAGGCGAGGCTTCAGAGGCAAGGGTAACCTTGATCCCATATTGAAACAAGAGCAGGAATATTCTAGGCAAATGAGGAAGGATAAGAGTGAGCACTGAGCTGGGTTCCAGGAGTGTCTGCGGGAGAGGGGAGGGCTGGTTTGTAGAACATTCCATGCCGCGGAAGCTGTGTGAGAAAATAGAAGGAGGTGTGAAAGAGAATGGCATGTTTGCGAAACTGCTAACAATTCCATATGGCAGGATCACTAAATTTAAGGGGTGGGGTTACACGGTTAGAAATCTGCCCAGAGAAATGAACAAGGGGTGGTGGAAAGGGAGGTGGGGGTGGGGGTGACTGGGTGACGGGCACTGAGGGGGGCACTTGATGGGATGAGCACTGGGTGTTATGCTATATGTTGGCAAATTGAACTCCAATAAAATTTTTTTTTAATTTAAAAACTTAAAAAGTAAATTAAAAAAAAGAAAAGAAGTCTGCCCAGAGAAGTAAGTGGGAATCACATCTTACAGGGCCTTAAATACCTACTGTTGGAATTTGTAGTTGTGGCCATTCACTCCCAGACTTGGAAACTTTGCACCCTGGGATCCCTATCCCTAGTCTAGAACTCTAGAACTCTAGCTGTTTACTGGCCTTTTATATTCCCTCATTGCCTTGTGTCAAAAATTCTGGTTCGTCCCCCCCCCCACTCCTCAGGCTCATCAATCCAGCCTTGCCCCCACCATCAACACTTCACTCCTTCTGTACGCTATGCCTGAGCCTCTGGAGGCTTCTGGCCTCCTGCAGCCATACCCAACAATGTTACTGGGCTCCTACAACCCTGCTAGATTTTTCTACCTTGACTTTTATGGTGGATTCTGTTTATATTTACCTGACTTCTCAGTAGCCTCTCTTTCCTGCCCCAGAGCATCTTCTTCCCTTGGATTCCACCCATTTATATTCTCTGGGCTTTCTTCCTACTTTTCTGACTCCTTCTTGTCAGTGTTCTTTACAGACTTCCCTTCCCTTTGGATCCCTTGAGTTGGCCTTGATTATGTTCTCACTCTTTTCTTCTCCCTCTTCTCCAGGGGATTTCCCTCACTCCAGTGACTCCAATTACTATCTTCGTGTTGATGAAACTTAAAAATTTCTATCTCCTGTGCAGCATTGTCTCCTAAGCATCAGGTGGCGTAACCAACTGCTTATTCAACCTCGCCTTTTTAATGTCTCCTAAACACCTCAAACTCAACATGCTGAAACTGACCTGATTTTTTTAAAACAGCCTTTTTGAAATATAATTTATATACCAGAAAAGTATCTTGTGTAAGCGTACAATTCGATTTTTAATAAATTTATAAAGTTGGGAAACCATTACTACAATAGAATTTTAGGACATTTCCATCACCCCAAAAAGATCCTTCTTACCCATTTACAATTACTCCCTGTTCCCATCTCCAGCTCCAGGGAGCCAATAATTTACTCTCTGTGTTGCATATTAGTGGAATCACATGAAATAGGATCTTTTGTGTCTGACTTCTTTGACTTTAGCATAATATTTTTGAGCTTCACCCATATCGTAAGTGTGTCTCAATACTCTGTTCCTTTTCATCGCCAAATCATATTTTATTGTATGGATATACCACGTTTTGTTTATCCATTCACCAATACAGACATTTGGAATTTCCACTTTTTGGCTGTTATGAACATTGTTGCTGTAAATATTGGTGTGGAAGTCTTTGTCTAGACAGCTTGGGTATATACCCAGGAGTTCATTCCTGGGTCATATGGGACATTTATGTTTAACTTTTTAAGAAACTGCTAGACTGTTCTTCAATGACTTTGCTATTTTTATTCATCATCTCCTAGGGAATTTCTATTTCAATTAATGGCTACACCATTAGTTAATGAATACTCCAGAACCTTGGAGCTCCTTCTTTATTCCTCCTTCTCCATATCTCCAAATTCCATTACTCATCAAGTCTAGTCAATTCTACTTCTCAAGTACCTTTAGACACATCTTCACCTTCACAGTGACCGTCCTAACTCAGCCACTGTTATTTTCTGCTTTAGGAATCTCATTCTTCTGCCTGACTCACCTTCTCTAATCCGTTCATTGAAAAAAGAAAAAAGGAAAGTTGTGAAATATTTGATGTGCACAAAAAACATATGAACCATAAATAATTTATAAAGCATAGTAATAGAGTGAAAGCCTTATGGGCCTACCATCCAACTTAACCATTGCTAACATTTGACCATTGCCAACACTGTGGATGTGCTCTCTGGGCTCTACTCTATCCAATTCTTCTTCAGTGGCTTCCTATTGTTCTTAGGATAAAGACCAAACTCATTGTTTTAGCTTTGTAAGTTCTTCATAGGTTTTGAAATCCTTTCTTAAGGATCATTTATTCACCTACTCCCTTTTCCTTCAGGTTCTACCCTCCAAAATCATCCTCCCTGCCCTCCTTGGACCAGGTAGGGTGCTCCCCAAATGCTGGGCATTTCTCTTATCATAGCTCCCATCACTTGGTATTCATAGTTGCTCATTTGCCTGTTTTTCCCAACACGTAGCTCTAGGACAGCAGAAGCCTGGTCTGTCTTGCCAGTGTATCTCCAGTTTAGCATGGTGCTTGGCACACAGTAGGTTCACAGAAAGAATTTTTTGCATATTTAAAGGAAAGTGATTTCCACACATCTAGATAAAGGTATCTGGCAGGTATTTGGAGCTCAAGAGAAAGGTCTAGACTAGAGATACAGATTTGGGAAAATTAAATCTTGTAAGTTAAAATTTGAAAATGTAGGTGTAAATTACACCATCAGGGACAGGATGAAGGGTACAAGCTCGGGGGGGGGGAGGATAGTACACTAACATATATGGGTTAAGCAGAAGAGGAGAGCCAGGGAAGGAGAGCAAGAAGAAGCACGAAGCAGAATGACCTGAGAGAACAGGGAAGGGAGGGTGGGAGGTGGGGGTGGCGTGGAGGTTCTCAATGAGATGGGAGAGATCACAGCCTTGAAGCTTTGGGAGGTCAAGGAGGACGATAAGTGACAAGAATACATTGGGTCTTGCATACAGGAATCCCTGGAGACCGCATCAGAGGCTTCTGAGGAGCTAAAGCCAGAATGCTATGGGTTGGAGAACAAAGGGACCTGAAGAAATACAAAGTTTAGTGTGAGCCGGGGGTACTTTCGAGGCGCTTGAGAAGTATGCAGGTCTGAAGGGAGGTTCTGATTATTAGGGTAGCAAGGAGTTAAGCTTTCATTCAGATGTTTTTGAGCATTTCTTCTGTGCCAGACACTGTGTCAGGCTGAGCATGTGTTTGGCTTGTGGGAAAAATCCAAGAGTCTATGGACAGGTATGGTTTACGAGGCTCTGACAAAGAGGACTCCAGGAGGTCCACTGAGGGTGGATATGGAACCCTTGTCTCAGGCTTCCAAATTCAGTGAGCTCTTCAGCTTAAGGTACTTCATGCCTTTGATTTTTTGGGAAGCAGAAGGATGTGCCATGTCCGCTCATCCATATGTTTTGGGGGAAGGGGAGGAAGAAGGTGGGGGAGAAAGCCTCCTCCCCGGCTCCTTTTCCTGGGGCTTGACCACAACAGGCACTTCTCACTGTCATTTCTACCTCTCCTGCAGCCTCCCTCCTGATCTGTATATATTCACACGTGTAAGGCAAGAAAAGTCCCAGGCCAGGTGAATTTTGCATTTTCTGTCTGACCTGGGGTGGGGTTGGGGGTTCAGGAAGTTGAATGGCTTGGAAACCGCCCCCGGGGAGAAAATGACCTCTTAGGAATGGAATGAGTTTCTAAGTTTAGGAAGCTTAGAGCTTTAACAAGTTTCTTCCAGGAGAGGGAGCCCCAGGGTTGGGAGAGGAAGATCCTACCGCAAGGTTTACCATGCGAAGGGGACTTGATTCTGGCAATGTTTTTCAGCAGCCCAGAGGTTATTTATGGGTTAAGTTCAGATAACAGGGGATGCAGACAGGAGGGAGGGAGATAGACTCATAACATGCTGACACAGACACAGACACAGTCACACACACACAGACACACAAACCACATATCCCTCACCCCTCACCCCTCCCTAGACACACTCACAATTTCGGCTCCAGTCCACTGGTTCCTGCACCTTTGCTGTGCCCCTGAATCATCTGGGGGACCGAAGGGCAGATTTCCAGGCCCCCTCCAGGCCGGTGGAATCAGAACAATCCAGGGCAGGACCTAGGAATCTGTATTTTTACCAAGCTCCCCAGGCGCTTCTGAAGTGAATGTGGACAGACTGGTGAGCTGCTCTGGGTAATTAGGTAAATACTTTAACTATAGCTTGTTCGAGACTTAATTCAATGGCTCCAGGCATCAAGATGTTGATGGCTAGTTGGAATGTAATCCGTGGGAGACCGCTGTTCGGACTGAGCCATTTTCTTTCTTATTTTCCTTTTAATAATTTTTGTGTTTATTAGTATAATACACGAGGAGGGTTTAAAAAGTCACATGGCACCAAACGGGTTATAATGAATAACAGCAATCCTTGT